CGCTGAACGTGTGGCGGGAGTTCGGTGGGCGCGTTCGAATTCGAAGCGTTCGGCCGAGAGTCGCCGAAGTCGTCCGAGCGCGAGCGACCTACTAATTCGCGCATGCGCGACGTTGCGCACGCACTCGCGATCCTCACCGGCGCGGCGCGGCGAGCTGAACGATATGACATGACGACGTCGCTCTGTCGCGCGTTGCGTCGCGGTCCAGCGTGGTCCAGCGTGGTCCAGCGCGGTCCAGAGCGGTCGCTCCGCCTTCGTGAACCTTTACGATGATGCGGCTGAACACACGATCGCTTAACTCCGCGCTCAACAGCTTCCGCTCTCTTACCGCGTGAATCCTCTCTCTCTCGCGGCTAGAGTTACTATGTAAAATTATCTAAAGACTCTTGTTATCAAATAAAAATAAGTCTGAGTAAGGGCATATAAGAGAGTCAAAAACAATAAAATTTTAATAAAAACACATCAATATGATAATACTTATTCTCGATATCGTTATTCTAAAAATCTTGATAGTGGATAGTACAGGCTATAACTGAAATAACGCCCACTAATTATATAATGTTATTCCTAAAACTGAGACGAAAAGTCCTCTACCATTTTGAAATTTTGTTATATTTTTTTTTAATTACCCAATGAGCAAAATCAACGTATAAGATAGCTTTAAGATATCTTTAAGAGTTTTTTAAGAAAAGTCTTCAAAATATTTCACAAAGAATATGGAAAGATATCTTAAAATTGTTTTAAACATCGATTTTATCCGTTTACTCGGCAATTTTTAAAAATTAATATGTCGTTAACTATTGCGAAAATTGTAAAATGGTAGAGGACTTTCGATTTGGTTTTTTACTAGGAATAGCACTGTATGATTAGTGGGAGTTATTTCAGTTACATCCTATATAACATATAAAATGTCTCAGAATTATAAAATATCTTGATGATCTAAACAAACAATAATTAATTACATGTTTCGGCTTCTTGATCGAGCCATCTTCAGATTTATTATAATTGCAGTCGCAATCCTCAGTAGAGTGAAACCAAGTAAAAATAAAGATAAGTTAAGTTAATGATCTCCGATGGATTGTACGTTGACTGACAGAAATTATTCTCAATCAGCTGATCGACTGAATGTTAAAATTTCCATAAATTTATGAATAATATGAGAAAATTGAGAACAATCTACAAATTATTATTATTTATACAAACGTCACTCAAAATAAAACTCACCGGAGAAGTCACAAAGTATGATAATGTTAAAAACATGTGTCTAATGATAGTCAATAACATTTTTAAAAAGAGTCAATCGCATAATTTACCACACGAGATGGTCGTGTGGTAAACACATATAAACATTACAAGAGACAAGCGACGACTAAACAAAGGCTCGCAAAATTATCGCAATTACCGATGATGCAAAGTCATATGCTGTTTATTATTGTTAAATAAAACTTATATATGAAGACTTATAGTATCCGTCTGTAGGTTTAAACTATTTTTCTGTTTTTTAATATTAATCATTTCAGAAATTATACATTTACTGTAGCACGGTATTATGGTAATTATGGTTCTACATCCACAATTAAAAAGTTTTACTGTTTTTGACTCTTATATGCCCTTCACTTAGATTTATTTTTATTAGAGTTACTATATCTAAATCACAAGGAAAGAGTATATATGTATATATGAACTTTTTCCAAAAAAAAATAGTCCAAGAAAGACGTATAGCTTTTTTATGCATTAAATTGTAGGTATTTGATTTTAATGAGATATAATTTCTACAATATATCTTGAAACTAACGTGGTTCTAATATTAACACATATAAAAAATAAGAGCATAAAAAACCACAGCACAAGTTATAGTTTGTGATATTTAATTATTATTACATTAATTAAAACATTAAACGTTTCGGCCACAATCTGGCCATCTTCAATAATTCAATAATATTCTTAAAACGCAGAGTTACATCTAGTTGACATTAAATTCAACAGTCGAGAGTTGTAATTAAATAAACATGTTCTTTTATATGTGAAGATGCTTCATACAGTAATGTTACAACGTCAATTGTCGTATCAAGAAAAGTGTAGAACAAGAATTTCCAGATTCTAAATAAAATTGTATATATTAAAATCTTCTAGTCGGAATATAAAGAAATAGAATCATTACCTGTTTTACAGCAAAAAAACCAAACGATGAATCTCGAGTATTTCTTTTACACAGTTAGAATTTTGTCGTGACATTATGTGTTGTTATTTGTCCTATCGTTTTTTATGCTCTTATTTTTTATATGTGTTCTACAATATAATTTTTATTAATGTAAGTTTTACGATTTAAAAAGGGTACTTTTAAGAGAATATAATTGGTAATCTTATCCACGGCAAATTTATTATGGCGGACAGTACATATTGAGATGCAAAAAGATGAAACCGTCAAATTTTTTCTTTACCGTCGCGACACGTTTGAGAATTTATGATGAGAATTTCGAGTTACGACACCAGACAAACATACCTTTTATTGCTTGTTACTGTCGCTCGCGATCGCATCACGAGAGACAAAGAGATCACGATCGACGTTTCACCTTTCGCGACTGCTATACGTGATACAACAAGCCGAGAATAGACGAGTGTACTCACAATTAAGGCAATGTTCAGGTTTTCACCCAAATGCCACCCAGGTTTCATTTTATTCTTATTGTTCATCGAGCAACCAAATAAAATTGTTAAGCAAGGACAAAATGACCTGTACTGGCACTTGGATAGGAATAATTTAAACATAGTCTAGATTAACGCGCATGCGCGAGAGATTATGACGTCTTTCCTCTTTTTAACTTTGGCTATCGATAATCGATCGAGCCATTAATAAAGACCCTTTAATAAAAGTCTAAACATGAACCGCGTTTTGTATACAGGGTCTCTATTTAGCAAAATCACGCGAAAAAGAAGAACATGCATTCACTATTCCTTTCTCTTTCTCTTTCTGACGTCATAGATTTTTAATTAATTGATAGATTTAAAATTGGATTATGCAAATATCTACTACTAAGTCATGCAATGAATGACTACCACTTGATTTGCATTGGACGTATGTACATGCAATTTTATTTCTTGCAGTATATATTTTTTATTATTACTTCTAAAGATCTTTCTATTGCGTATATATAATTATGATTTCTATATCGTTGATAATTCTTTGATTTTCTGTTTTTAGTTTTTCCCATATTGTAGATTAATTGTTTCTTTTCTAGCTCTGCTAAATTTTGTATATACATACATATATGTGTGTGTGTGTGTGTGTGTGTGTGTGTGTGTGTGTACAGAGTGCGTCACCAAAATCCGGACAAATTTCAATTTAAATTTTCCGCTATATTATGCCAGAGATTGTTATTGGCGTCCGAGAAAGATGCTTCTAGTAAACAGTCATATTTTCAAAATGGCCGCGATGTTGAAACCAAGTGCGGAATATAATCAAAGAGCCGCGATCGAAGGCTTCCGCGTTGGGCGCTCAGCAACAGAAATAATTCGGTTCTTTGGATATCCAAGATTAATACCGTTTATGACGTTGTGGCAAAATATGGATTTTAAAACAATCCAACAAAGGTTCCAGTATGCTTCCAGCGAGGAAGAGTCACTCGAAAGAATGCACTACGAGGACCCCCGCAGTCGTTGAAAAGGCTCAAGCGCTGATTTCAGATGACCCAGGGCAATCGTTGCGAAAATTAACATCAATTGTTGGTATATAAGCGAGCCAACAATGCGTCAAATTGCCGAGGAGGATCTTTGATACAAATCGTACACATTATAGATATGATAGATGCTCTCCAAGGCTGTCAGGACAAGCCGAGCATTTGCTCGCTGCAATCTGCTATTGTATTCTTTGAAAAACAAAGCCTCGGGACGAATCAGATTCTTTTCTGACGAAAAAATGTTTACTGTGGATGCCAAAATCAACTGGAGGAATGACCGATGGCTCGCCTACAATCTCGAGGATGTTCCTGTTGTTGCCAGAACGAAATTTCCGGCCAATGTTCACGTGTTAGGTGTTGTGAGGGTGATGTCATGCCACCACATTTCTTTAAAAAAGGGGAAACTGTCACAAAAAAAGTGTATTTGCGCATTCTGATGGATGTAGTGAAGCCATGGATGGAAACTGTGGCGTCCAGAAGGCCATACGTTTTTCACGGTGCATCGGCTCATACGAGTCATTTAATTCAAAATTGGCTCTCAGATATCATCTCTCGATATGTTTTGGTCCAAGGAATTCTAGCCTCCCAACAGCCCAGATTTAAATCCCTTGGACTAGTATGTATGGAGCGTAGTTGAAAGGGTCACAAACAAGTCTCGGCATCCCAATGTGACGTCATTAAGGACCGCTATTGAGGTAGCATTCGTCAGCATGGACAGTGCTACATTACAATGTGCGTGCGAACGCTTCAGAGAATAGAGGCCGTCATTCAAATAATGGGGGATATATCGAATAATTGTGCTCTACAGGGATTCCCCAAGTGCCATGTAAAAGGATTTTTTGTAATATTTAATTTTTCATTAAAAACATTTTGTTATACGAATATATTAATATATATTTTTACGTATATATTAATATATTTGTTTATGAGCTTGTATTAATGTTTTGGTACTTTCTTTTATATTTTTTTAGTTATACTACATAGTCTTTATCGTCAATATCATTATATCTCTTTATTTAAATTCTTAGTGATAATATGACAAAAAATTTTTGTCATAGTAGAATAATATATTTTCTGTTTATGCGCTTGAGAGGATAATGATCCCAGGACGCTTTGAATAAATGTCGCTTCTCTCTCTCTCTCTCTCTCTCTCTCTCTCTCAGAAACTTAAAACATGACGGACCAAAAGTGACTGTTTCGTATCTTGATTTTTATTAAAGAGCCTATCGTAGTGTAGCGAAAATTATGTATTTAGTTATTCAATCATTCTTACAGACGGCATGACAGCGGTATGTAAAGTACGAAGAGAAAAAAAGAGTATACTGGAGATGCGCGCTGAATAAAATTTTTCAATTCGATTTGATTAATTGCCTAATTATATCTAGGTGCTTTCGCAAAAATTATAGCTTATTTTTCAGTACGATATAACATTCATACTTGAAAAAAGGAAAAAATATTTATTATTTATAGTATTTTGTATTTTTTTATTTTTGATTTTTTATTGCAGTATTATCGCCGCGGCAATGTGTCCAACACAATATGTTTCTATAAAATTAAATACATGTAATTATTGTACAACATACACATGAATCACTTTAGAGACAATATAACATTTCTAATATCTATTTTCTCTTGCAATTAAAATTCATTTGAAGATTATTCACTCGGCACGTTTGACATGTTTATTCAATTTCAGATGCTGACGAAATCCTGTTTTTATCTCATTGCGCAGCGTATTGCAATTATATATTTATCGCGGTACTGGGTATGTAGTATTTGGTGGTGTAACTGTTTTATGGCGCGATGATAGATATAAATGGTATGTGGTGGCTGTAGGTGCTCTTACGTGCGCAGGAGATATGAATAAAAATGTCAGAACACACGTGTTTATTATTTCGAAGTTAAGACACAACGCTCCCATAAGTCAGAGGTTGAGAGCAAGTGCTACGTGCGTCACGCACTCTTAACTGCATCCTGTC